GGGGGGAGAGAGGGCGCACAAAAAGCAACGCGGCCGGGCGTCGATCTTGAAACGCGGGCGAACAACGGTTTGTCGAGCTGCGGCAAATGGATTAAGTAGTTTGGAGTAGCCAGATCAGCCAAAAGTCCAGCGTCTCCCCCCTCTCCATTCATCGCGGGCCGTCACGTTCTCAGGGCCCGCCCCTTGCGCCATTCCCCCCAATCCCGTTGGACCATAGACTTTATATCCCCGCCGCTGCGGCCTGGTTTCTCAGGCCAACAATGTCCGCCGCCGACCAGGTCTTCCAGTGCACCGAGCTGCTCGAACACATTCTGTCCTTCACCTCCATCAACACCCTGCTCGTCCTGCAGCGCGTCTGTCGCCGCTGGCGCGACGTCATCCGCTGCTCCACCAAGCTGCAGCGCGCCCTCTACTTCAAGCCCGACCTGACCGGCGACGTTTACGGCCTCAATCCGCTTTTGGTGCAGCGTTTCACCTTTGCCCGCACCCCCGACGAGCGCCTCTGGATCTCCACCAAGGGCAAGGGCTACTGGCGCAACAAGCTGCTGTCGTGCAAAAACGCCTCCTGGCGCGGCATGCTCTTCACCCAGCCGCCCGAGCCCTTTTCTTTTGTCTCGCATCGCTTCACCGACGACAGCCTGGTCCACTGCAATTTTGAAGAGTACACGACTTGCGGCGAGGCCTATAACGAGGGCACTGGCCAGATCCCCAGCGTCCTGCCCCGTTAACTCTGCACTCAATTGCCCATGTCCTATACCTATACCTTTTCTTTTAATCCCTTCGATCCTAATACCCGCCGCGGCGCAAAAGAAATACACCTACATGGCCGCCCTCACACCAGAAGTGAGACAAGGCGGTATGTAATACGGTCCCAGACCGGCTGGTCGGCAGATCCTCCCGGTTGCCCTTTGCGTCAACATCGCTTCGCAGGCCGCTCGCCAGGCCAGCCTAAATCTCTGCCGACGTCTCAGCACCGCATCCTTCGGCACAGGACCTGAAACGGTGGCGCCCAAGGCCCTCCCAGGAACCGGCGGCCCCGGCATCCCCACAATCTTGGCTCGGCCAGAAAAAAGCTTGTCGCTGCCCAGTTTGGGAAAGGCTGTTGCAAGTATCCGATAGATTGCTTTATTGTGGGCGGATGATCGTTCCGTGCGAGCCCAGCGTCATTCACATCGGTCGTTTGTGGCCAGACCGTGGCTTAAAGTCGCCTTTCCACTCACGTCGACAATGACGTCCCACCATGGAAGCTCGGGCGGAGCTGGTTTGTTCTATGGTTATCTAGGGTTTCAAGGCCCTATAGTGCTCTGGGGGGTATAAAAGGCGTTTGTTTCTCTGTTCCTGTTGTCTATCATCCGCAAGCCACCAGTCAGTCAGTCAGTACAAGCCGCTCCAGCAAGCATCGTCATCAAAATGTTCTCCAAGATCCTGCTCCTTGCTTCCGCCATTTCCGGCGCCACCTGCGCGACGACCTACACGGCCTCGTTCACTCAGTACGGCTCCACTGACACCTGGGGCTCCGGGAACTGCAACGTCAAGACCGCCGCCTGCGGCTTCTACACTTCGGTGCGCTGTCCTGAGGCAACAAGGCGGAGATGAGTCAATTGCTAATTTGTGTATTCGTGAAGCCCGGCTACTCTGCTGCCGTCTCGGAGAACCTGTACGGCGCGGCACCTGGCGCAGGCGCTGGCCCCGCCTGCGGCACCTGCTGGAAGCTCACGGCGCAGAAAGACAGCTCAGGCAACCAGCTCAGCAACGCGGGTAACTCCATCGTTGTCATGGTGAACAACCTGTGTCCTGGTACGATCTCCCTTTCCCCATCTCTCCCAATACCGCACCACACCACGCAACAGCGCCCGAACAAACCATACGAAAGAAAGCGAATCATGAAAAACGGCGTGAAACAACGAAGCTAACACCTCCTTCCCCCTCCAACAGCAAGCGGCAACCAGCTCTGCTCGCAGAGCGGCCTCTCAGGTACGAACCAGTACGGCGCGAACGTCAACTTCGACCTGTGCATCGACTCGGGCGCCAGCAGCGCGCTGTTTGGCAACTCGGGCGTCGGGCTGGCGGTGGGCAGCGCGGAGCAGGTCGACTGTTCGCAGTGGAGCGGGACGAAGCAGTAAGAGATGGATGGTGAGCGTGGGGTGAGGGAGCGTGTGAGTGGGGTGGGGATGGCGGGGATCTGAATGGACTGTCCTTACGGAATTGAGATTTTGTGATTTGCAGGGATGGAGTGTGTGGATGTGCGTCTTGTTGTGTCTGCTCTCTCGGGATCGGAATCGTCTTCTACTCTTCGCCCATTACGGCCCGTGATTCTCTCGCACGAACCTAATATTCCCATTCTTAAGCTCCAGCTGTCAACGGACGTCGTCTCCGTCTCCGTGCCCTCGCGCGCTGCCCGACATACCCGGGAGGCTAAACGGAGCCGTGTCCTCCCGCTTCTGTTCTCGTTCTTGGCCAAGGCACTCTCGGGCCGAGCGGTGCGAAGGATCCCAGGAGGAGTGGGGCTGCTGCTATAGCACGTGGTGCTGCCGGGATGGTAAGTCAGTGTCCAGCGTGGAAGATCCACTTGTGCGGCTCAATTGTGGGAACGGAGTGGGCATGGCAGGGTGGAGCGGAGAAGTGGAGAGGAGAGGAGAGGAGCGGAGAATAAAGTGACTCGTGGTTGGTTGAACCATGCTTTTTCTCGCAAGTCATGAGCTGCTTTTCGTCTTGAAGTCTGTCATGACCTAGACTAAGCTGATATTCTTCAGTCTCCAACGCGACGCCGGAGAGTCATCAAGCACCTCTCCGTATCCAATGCGGCGGTACAGGTCCGGGCTCTCGTTGACCCGGACGAGGAAGATGCCCTCTCTTGCCCGTTGGTAGAAACATATACTCGCAAAGCAAAACCCATGTAAACGCCTACTCCCAGCCCTCGCGTCCCACAGTCCAACCCCATCTTCCATATCGAGCGATACCCAGCCCACGACGGTCTCGGCTCTCTCACCTCCCTCACGCCGGAGCGCCAGCGTCCGCACAGGCACGAAGCGCTTGGGCTTCAGCACCGGCAGCCGGCTCTTCAGGTTCCAGGGGATGTTGCGGCGGGGACCGGGGCCAATCTCGGTCGTCGAAGTAGAGAGCTGCACGCTCTCAAGCGCAGTCGTTTCGAGGCGGAGTTCGAGGTGGCCGGGGCCGCTGAGCCAGGCGTGCTGGTCTTTCCCATCGAGGTCGAAAGGGTCGCGCACTTTGATGAATTCGCACTTCGTTGTTAGGCATCTGGACGCGCTGGGGCGGTGGTGCGGCTCTGCGGGCGAGAATGGGGGTGGCGAGCTGGGCTGCGTCCAGCGGTGTTGGCGGCCTGGCCCCGTGATCCCGAATGGGTCGCTGGTTTTGCTGAGCGAGCGCTCGTCTGTCGCAAATTGGATCGGCCCGTCGTATGCTGCCCAGGACCAGGAGGGCGCTCGTGGAGAGGAGGGCGTGCTGAGGGGTGTGCTTTCCCGGAGCCAGAGCAGCCCTTCGCTTATGCGGTCGTGCCAGAGCCCCGCGCAGTACGTTGCGCCTGTTTTTTCGTGTATTCGCTGCGCCATTCCGGAGAGGGCTATGAGTTTGTCTTTTTCTTTGGTGAGGCTGCAGTTCGAGTACATGGTTATTAGGTCGAGCCAGTCTGCCGGTGTTTCTGTCCTTAAGAAGGTGTTGTCTGTCGTGGGTGTGCCATACTTTTGACTTGGTACTCGAAGCAGTTGGCACAGTTCGGGGGCCGCGGAGGGAGCAAAGAACTTGCGTCGTGGTGCAACGGGCGCGTTTTTGACCCTTAAGATCGTGCGGGCTCCGCTTCTCTCCAGCCGGTTGGCGGTGTCGGACATCAGTGGCCGGTGGTGGCTCAGTGGACCGTCCTCTGCTTCAGTCCCGTGCATCGTTTCCAAGTAGATCTGGCCTTCAGTGAAGTGGATGGTGTTCGATGCGAGGAAACGTTCTTGAAGTACCCAACCTCGCCTGCAGAGCTGACTGTCTGTGACGTCGGCTTCAAGATTGGCTGGCCGGCAGATGTAGTATGTTGAATCAGGTCCTTGGAATTCCACCGCTGTCCTTTTCGCCATTGACCTATCGAGGAAGCCTTCCGTGTCGTCCCTTGCGCAGTGGACGGCAATTGTGAAGTGTGCGTTCCCGTAGACATCGGCCATTTTGCCTGATTCCTTTGCCCAGTCTTGCTCGTCGTCTTGGATGATGCACAATGCGTCGATCCACAAATAGGAATATCCAAGTTGGCTGACAACCTCGACCGCGTCGCGAAAGGTTGCCGGTAAGTCTTTCCTGATCGAGATGCCAGAGCATCTTTCACTCATGGTCGAAACCGTGGTCGTAAAATGTTGAGACGCTCCCCATTTGTGGCTAAGCGCTACATATCGCACCGCCCTTCGATTAAAACCCCATGTCAGTGGGAAATGCTCCGCGGTGTGGATTAGCTCAAGCCTATCAGGCCCGAGTACATGGAGCAGACGAGTTGGCAGAAATTTAGGTGACTCGGGACCAGGCGATGGGATTTTGGAGAGCCACTTGCGCATAAGTGCAAACTTTCCGCTTCGTTCTAGTCTTGGATCTGTTGCAATTCGGGGATCCTTCGTGGAATCAGGTACTGTTTAAGATTTATCAACACAGGATCGGGATGTTAGAGACCGTTCGCATACCTAAATTGGTAAACAAAAGTAATTTTTCCTCGATTGTCTCATGGTATGCGGGTTTCATAGCCGGGCTGTACCGAATCCGAAACATCAGGATCAGACTAGCAGTTCCTGAAAGGGAGGGCTTTGAGCTTAGTTCTATTGAGAGGCCCAATCTTTTGTTTGATATTGCTTCATTGTCGATATTGGCGTCCTTGTTGTAAGTGTGGTCGTCATGTGTAATTAGCTCTTTGTTGTGCTTCATTGCTGATTCGAGGAGCGAACTGTTGCTCTTTCGAATTATGAGCCACATTAGAGAGCACATCTTGCAGAAGGAAGCTGAACATCTTAAGTCATTGACGGTGTATTCGTCATGTGATCGCAGGATGTGTTGAGTGCCTGTTAGGACTTGCGGTAGGTTTTCCTGACACCAATCGCAGATTATTCTATCATTCTTTCTCTGAGTTACGGTTTCTTCTGTTTCTGAGTTTCCTAGGCGCTCGGAAAGGCTGAAGACGGGCTCGTGGGACCCAGTACGCAGTGTAGAGATGTTCGGAGATGCGCAACTTTCTAGTCAGACCCAAATTCAATAGATAAGGTGGAATCGGTAGTATTAACCTGGAATCTTCTAATGGCCAAAGCATTATGCAATAGTGTCCAAAGGGAAGTGATGTTTGTATCATGAGGGGCGGTTCAACAGCTGAAGTCGTAAGTAGGCAGCTGACAGGCCTGCATCTCGGAAGGAGTTTTGCCGAGGTCTTGTTTTTTCAGCCCCGGCCAGCTTAACTAACGTCCGTCATCACGAACCGAGATCCACCGTATAGCGAGACAGGAGACGATATAAGCAGTCCCTACAGAGTACTCCTTGCCTAGCTCCTAGCCCGAGTCTTAGGTATAGGTGAAAAGCTCTTAGAGCACGCACAGACTCTATATACCTCAACTGAGTCTCTTCTTCTATTCCGTACACTTATCACTATCTCGCTTCACGGTGACAAACGTTACACTCGTACTCGACAAATGTTCCGTACAGCGTGATGCCGCATCGTAGCTTCCGCCTAACATTAGGAGACTAATACTGATCGAACTATATCTGCATACTGTAAGCGAGCGAATTAAGTATGCTTTATCTGCCTAGTAACACTATCACCAAGCTAACCTGAGCTTAGATTACGTCATTACAATTGTCTAGGCGTTGAACTTGACCTGTGCCTCGATTCACACAGGCAAATGCGTAGGCAGGTCAGCATGCAGTGACCAATGCTTTAGATGGCGTTTGCCGGATCGCTAAGCCACGGCCCAAATCGCGTGTGTTACGTACATTCACTTTGTGAACCGGCCTCAAAGTAACGGATGACTGGGGAGATCCGCGCTTATGGCGTCCCGATGCTGCAGCAAGCTAACTAAAGGCAATGGATACTGGCCACTACTTTTTTGTACCGAGTCTTCAGGCTAAATCTGTTAGTATCCGCTGCGGTGCGACTGTAATACCCTCCTATATGTACTCAGCCTTCCTTGCTATGAGCTGTTTATGGTTCACCGGAGCAAACGCTGCTAGCAGTGTTGCGCAATCAGCCCTTCTAATTTTAGCTATTGGGGATATATAGAAGGCCAGCACTCTGTGCTGCTAGTAGCCACTAGCAGCCTCTCAAAATTTCTACACTATAGCATATTCGCATCGACCAGATGATGATTTTACGGTGCAAAAAGTCAATAACGGTCTTGACTACAGCATTGAAAAGTCCAAACAAACCTGTTGAACAGTGCGAGAAAGCTGGACACTGCTGTCGCATT